GATAAAAAATATGGATAAACCTTGTGTTTACAAAAGGTTAGTGAGAGTGATGTTGTTTTTCTAATATTATATGTAAAAGAATATTATTTTTAAGAAAAGACATATATTTACTTTAATTAGTGAAGTTTTGGTTGTCTAAGAATTCCCCAAAAAGAAAATTGAAAGAAGCAACCTATATATTAGATATAAAGATAGATCTAGATACTTGCTTCAATTGTGGCAATCCATACATATAGATTACATACAAAAATAACTTAGCATGAAAAAAATATCTAAGATTGGATTCTCATTTATTTTGCATGAAACCTCCAAAGACATGTGTTCTAAAACACATAATGAGAGAGATATGATGGAAATGGTATCCTATACTTGACTATAAAATCCATCATTGAAAAAGATAAACTAGAAGTTTAGAAATGTTTGAATAAGGATTTTTTCAATGAAATATTTGAAAATAGTAAATATCAATCAATATATGTTTTACTTTAAATGGTAGTGTTCAAAATTGAAAGAGTTTCAAACAAGAGAGCACAACTGATTCTATAACCGAATAAGAGTATACCTCCATGTTTGAGGAAACAAAGTAGTTTTCGAATAAAAACGTTCATCAATAAACTCGGTTCGTTCCTAGCATTGTTGATCTAGTTACCCAGTATTGTGATGATAATAGAGTCATTACATCAACAATAGAACCAAGATCTTATCAATGATCCAGATAAGTACTTAAAAAATTTCATTTGATTTTAAAAATCAATGAAATGAAAGATGTAAAGATAAAACCAGAACTCACCTAAGAGCATCTAGAAGATCCTCCTACTAAATCACTATCCATGCAGAAACATTAATGCTACATAGAGTAATATAATATTAGATACATGAGTGATTAACTTTAGTGTAAATGAGACATTGTTAGTTTAATATGTCCTGCAACCAATTAGTTGATTATACGTGATATTATTATATTCATATAAATACATATTTATTATTAATAAAGACCTAATTTATCTTTAATATTCATGTAATATTAGATTAATGAATCTACAGTAAAGATAAAGTCCATGGAATAAAAAAAATATTTTACAAAAGAAATCATAAAGTTATAATTATGAGAATCTTATTGCATCAAAGCATTATTCCTAAAATGTTCCTGGTATGTTCTCTCTTAAATACTGAACATTCATTATAGCCATAAAGACTAATACATATTATGTTCTTTCTTTTATAAAAGAAAATAATTGTTTTCATAAGCTAAAGTATAAAAAATACCTATAACTAATATGTAAGTTCTTGTCATAAGACACGTACACTGAACTGACCCGTATAAGAATTTCATATCAAGAGATCACTTATGTTTATGGAAAAGCTCATGTGACAATTGCGTGAGTGATTCCTAGACTTGAAATTATTAAGTTATCTTATATAGAGAATGTTATGCTTAGATTTTGTTACATGTTATCTTAATCGATGTAATGAAAGGGTGGAGATTGGGTACAATATGAATTATATAAAGGTACTTGGGTGATCAAGAAAAGATTCATTACCGTGAATTAAGAAAAATATTTTATCTATTCTCCTTGGTTGATCAAGAAAGGATTCATTACCCTAGGTGAATTAAGGAAAATATTTTATCTATTCTCAAATCATATTAACTGAAAACTCATTGACCAAGGTAGAATGATGTTTGAAAAGAGTTTTAAGTCTGATTCAAATGATTAATTACTATTATATAAAGAACAAATATGATTTAACATGGTAGACATACTTCATACTTTATTGTTAAATCAAAATATTATTGATGAAAAGATACTAATTACACTAAGAAATCGGTCACTAAAAGGTTAGTAAAACCACTAATGATTTTTCTAATATTTGAGAGATTATGACATATTGTTAGACGATGCATTTGATCTTCAAATATAAATTAATCAATTGTTTAATGTAATTAATTCTATTTAATTATAATTATAATTTATATTTGGGTCAACATATTAGGAATCTAATGAGTTACACACATTAAGAACCACTAATCATAAGTTATACTATGATGATTTAATTAAGTATAATTTGATTAAAATATATTTTAGAAACTAGAACTAGAATATAGTTAACACATGGATTATATTTCTAAACCTAGAAAAATCAAGTAAGGACTTGATTGAGTTAATTTCTAAATTTTTTCTAAATTAATATATGAATATTATTCAAGGGTAAATTGATATTTTACCAATTTATAGGGTTTTTTCTCTATAAATAGTACGTCATGCATCTTATTTTAGATGTTGTTGTCCGTTAAATAGAAAAACTACAAAAACACAAAATTAGAGCTAGCATTATGGGCATATCAACCCCTCTCTCTTAAATAAAAATTTAGAAGATTTTTCATAGATGGTTCGTGTGGATTATCATTACCGGTCCGATAATTGAAATGCTTGTGGTTTGCCACAACCTAACCTTTAAAAAATTATTTAAAGTCGATGAAGATCAAGTTTTCAGGTAATAAATCCATAAACAACTATAGATCTGTCTAACTAGATTTTAGAAACTCCTAAATAATTTTATTTTATAGTTTTAATTACGTGTATAATCAAGGGCGGAGGTATTTAAAGGGTTGAGATGGGTTGTAGCCCAAGTGAAAAAAAAAATCATAAAAATCCATAGTTACGTAGAGGCTCCGACATTACCCTTTTGGCCTATTCCGTTCTCCTGTTTTCAAGGATGGTGAAAGTTTGAAAAGAAAAGTTGGCACTCACTGGAAGAACTCCCAAGTGGCAACTCTTATTATAGAGTGTTAGTAAAGAAGCATGCTTTCAAGAACAAAAGCTAAGAAATAAAATATTCATTAAGTTTGGTTTTAACTTACCAAAAAGCAAATGGAGTTCTATCATATTTTTTGTCAAACACTAAATTATTTTTATAATTATTTTTAACAAAAATTTCAATTATCTTGCATTGTAAACTTAAAAAAAAAAAACAACTTAATTTTTGAGTTTTTTCCCATGCTTTAAAAGAAAAACAACTTCAATTAAATGTTGAAGGATAGATCTGGAAAAAAAATATAAAATTAATAACATAAACCCAAACAAATCTCCTAAACCTAGATTAATGTTTCAATTCTCAACTTGTTAAATCCTAAATTCAGGCTCAACCAAGAAGCTCAAATCAATATTAAAGTATGAAATTACATATATATATATATATATATTAATTTTAAAAACTTGTCAAGGTTTAAAAGCATAACAATAAAAAATGGAGGATAAAATCGCAAAAAAAAAACCAAATAAAATAAATAGTAATAAAAGAATGAAAATCAAATCTAATAAATTAAAAAAATTGAAAGGGTATGAAATTGAAAACAAATTTCAATTCTATAAAATAATTTAAATAAAAAAATATAAATTGTACTTACATATACTTTAGAATCTAATGACAACTTTAAATCATTTAAAGTTGATGTTATTTCCAAGCTTACTGAGAAATTTTATCCTAAAGATTTCAATGAATAAGAGATATATTATTTGAGATCTCAACTAAAGTATTATCAAATTGATGTAATTTATAACAAGAGCTTTCAGAATATGTTTATCATTTTTGAATTATTTAGAAGATTAGTTGAAACAAATAAGTCATACCACTATTATTTGATTGATAAGTTGATTCGTTTTGTTTTAACGTTGTCTGCACTTCCACTACATAGCGGTTATTTTTAATAATGAATCATGTTAAAACCGTGTTTAGTTCTTAACAGATTCTATTATGATTTATATTGAACAAGATTTTATTGAAGATATTGATTCAGATTCGATTATAAATGAATTCTATTCTACAAAACAACGAAAGATGCAACTTTGATAGCGTATTTTATTTTTATTTTTATGTATTTTTAATTTAATTTAATTTATATTGATAAATTTATATATAAAAAAAGTTAATGATTAATGTTAAAAAATAATTTATGTATATTTATATTATATCCCAGAACTCCACCCCTGTGTATAATATTTGGGAAATTCAATATTTTCAAGAAGTCCAAAATAATAGATGACAACCACATTAATCATCCTATCCTTCCATGAACAAACCTACTTGGGTTCAAAGCTATATATAAACAGCCTTTGAACCCTAATGTAAAGCAACATGTTTTTCTTTACTGTATTCTGATAAACAATCATTTCTTCTTTCAACTTTGCTCTCTGCAAACATTTACAACAGTCTCTAATGCTATTTTCCTTTATTATCAGCACTTTCTTAAATATTGAAGGCTGTTTTGCAGATGTTTCAGTCACCTAAAGCCCAACATCATATACCATCCAAACCATCCTCTAGTTTTGGAAAAAAAACACCTCTTTAAGAGTGTTTATTTTTATTTTTTTACATCATCACCTTTCCATACAAAGAAAGAAACCAAACTCACGTGTATTCTTGAGTTCCATGTTCCCTTGCCTAGTTATTTAAGCCTTCTTTTTATTCTTTTAAGAGTCCAAAGCAAAGTTGTTTTTCTACGATACCCAGCCCAATCATGCTATATTATATGTTGATAAAGAACAGATTGGAGATATACGAGATCCAGCTCATCTTGGCTTTTATTGACATTCCCGTTATTCTTCTCCTTCTTCTACAGCACACAGAAAGCCCTTTTGTAACACACTTAAATTAACCTTGTTTTATTCTATGAGGAGATTAAGGTGATTCTTACATATATATATATATAAGGATCACCTTAATCTCCTCATAGAATAAAACAAGGTTAATATGCTTGAAAAAAATGCATTAGTTGCTTAGCATAAACTTTGCAGATGCGGCTTCAAAAATTAGTAAATAATTGTAAGAATCTCTCAAATAACTTAACACATAAAACTTCTTAGCTTAACGTGTTCTATTTCCAGCTCTAATCCTTCTGTAGTTTGGGATCGAGTCCACTTCAAGCTTCATATATAATTCTTCTCTATGCCATGCCACTATATAAAGTTCTCTAATGCAACTTAACCAGTCCACCAATCTAATTAATTACAGCACATTTTGCATCTTTCAAGATGGAAATTTATGTTTTTCCGGTAATAGTGTTCTTGCTTTCTCTTTTTATGGCTTCTTTCATGGCGGCTTCAGCTGGTAATTTCAATCAAGAAGTTGACCTAACATGGGGTGATGATCGTGCTAAGATACTCAGTGGAGGAAACGTTCTGTCTCTTACACTTGATAAGGTCTCCGGCTCTGGCTTTCAATCCAAGAACGGGTATCTCTTCGGAAGGATAGATATGCAGATCAAGCTTGTTGGTGGTAACTCTGCTGGTTCTGTCACTGCTTACTATGTAAGTCCGCTTGTTGACTCTTCCACCTTAGAATCAAGATTCTAATCACATATTTTTTCGACTCAGAATCATGAATCATGAGAGTAAAAGGACTTATTTTTATAGTATACTTGTGTCTCAGCTATCTATACATTCTGTTGCAGTTATCCTCAGAAAGGCCATACCATGATGAAATTGATTTTGAGTTCTTAGGGAACCTTAGCGGAGAACCCTATACTGTTCACACTAATGTGTACACTCAAGGGAAAGGGGATAGGGAACAACAATTCCACCTTTGGTTTGATCCAACAAAAGATTTTCACTTGTATTCTGTTGTATGGAACCACCAACGTATCATGTAAGATTTTGCTATATAATTTTTCTGTTCATATTTTCTTGAAGAGCTGCACAGCTTAGTACTCACAAAAGTTTTCTTATAATTATCTAACATGTTATCTCTAGTTTCTTAGTGGATGACACGCCTATAAGAGTGTACGAAAATCAAGAATCCATTGGAGTTCCTTTCCCGAAGAACCAACCTATGAAACTTTACTCCAGCTTATGGAATGCTGATCAATGGGCGACAAGAGGTGGACTAGTGAAAGCAGATTGGTCTAAGGCACCTTTCACAGCATACTACAGGAATTTCAAAGCCAACGCGTGCATATGGTCTTCAGGATCGTCTTCTTGTTCATTGAAGACAACTGGCTCCATCAAAAACAAGGCTTGGCAGACTCAAGGTCTGGATTCGACTGGTCGTAGAAGCCTTAGATGGGTGCAAAAATATTACATGATTTACAATTATTGCACGGATTATAAGAGATTTCCTATGGGTCGCCCGCGTGAGTGCAGGCTTTCTAAGCATTCTTAGAGAGTTTTGCTGCTTGAATGCAATTATAAGATACCATCTGGTATAATGTTAATTGGTTTGGTTTCATATGTTTCTTTTATTTTTGTTGTATAAATATAATAAAGAAGGCTCTTGGTCCTCGTTGTAGATGTCTACATGTTTTGCACCATAATTTTGTTTTATTTTGAGAAACCACCTAATAACCAAAGTAAATCTCTCAATTACAAAACCGCTGTTGAAGTTCTAAGAATTAAAAAGGTTGTATGTATGATTAATTAAAGTTGACACTTCTAGGTCTGAAAGTTATATAAAACATGAAAGTAGTTTGGTCGAGAAGATTAGAAGTTTGGGGTCTACAACCAATCAACAAACTTATTATCATTACATTATATTATATAAAAAAAACTTTTTTTTATTATTAAAAAATCAGTGTGCATACCTATCCTTTTCTATTTATATAATTTTTCTATGAAATTTATTTAAGTTATGGATAACTTTAATTTTGAGTTAATATTTCTTCCTCAATCTGTACCTTATCAATAATTAATAATAAACCAATAAAATTATATTTTAATGTTGAAAGACATATTTTAGGATCTTGACCAAAGAAATAATTTAAAATTTACATCTTAATAATTTCATGCAACCTTGAGAATACAAAAACATAATCAGTAAAATTTGTAAAGTGATTTTAAAACATAAAAAATAATTTCTTGAAAAAATTTTGTTAACTAATTTTATAAAGTTCTTGACAAAAAAATGATGATGCATTTCTTTTTATGATCTCTAGAAAGATAAGCACAGTAGGTCAGCTAGGGGCAACTCAATTTGAAGAAGCCCGTTGCAACAACAATAGATAAATTGACAATTTGGTGAACTCTATCAAAACTATAAATAGTATATGACAATTATAAGTGTCTTTTCAATGATTGCTAAAAGAATGAACACTCTAGATCAACTGAGGAAAATTCAAATTGATGAAATCTTTGCAATGATAATAACTAGATGATGATCTAGGGAACTCCATCACATACTATGAGTAGTGAAAAAAAAATACCCTCACATTACACCTGGGGAGTATTGATAAGTGGATCCAATATGGGCTTAAGTAATGGATGAGTCATAGTCATCAACTAATCAAGAATAAAAAATAAGGAAGGACAAACCCGTAAAGAGTTTTGAGGGCATTGGAACAGTTCAAGCAATTTAATAACCATATATCGATGTTTCCACAACCAAGCATCTTCAAAGATATATATATATATATATATATCTATATATATATATATATATAGAGAGAGAGAGAGAGAGAGAGCATTCAAATATGCCTCTGGGTTTTGATTAGTACTTAAAAGTGTATTTTTATCAAGGTTTTAAATCATCATTTTGCACTTAAAGCATCATTAAATTCCCTAACTTAAGCATGTTTTATAATAACAAGTTTGATAATATAAGATAGCTTTAATTTATGGTAAATGTTTATTTTAAATGTAGGCATATCTCATAATTCAAAGGATTGATTGATGTGATTAACTATTAAAAGTGAAAGGACAAAGAAAAGACCAAGGTTAGAAAAAAAAATAGTGATTCAATTCAAATTGGAACACTATTCGTTATTAGGTCATATCTAGAGCTGTATATCTTGGATTTCAATTTGGTATATATGGCTAGAAAGCTAAGACATAGACCTAAAACAATTATGAGAGTCCAAAACTTAATTCTGCCATTTGGAAATCTAAATCTAGCATCAAAAGAGAAATCCAAATTTGTCCTACAACTTAAACAATGTTTAGTGTTCAGCCCATATCTCGAGTTTTAGAAGTCCAAATGCACTGATATTTTTTTCTTTTTTGTTGGAAAGCTGAGACAATTTCCTAGAACTTTTATGAAAACTATATGTTCAAATTTTAATGTTAGCAATGACGTTTTCTACAGATAAGAAATTAAGGATTGTTACCAAGTCAAAAGGTGGCCACCCATTCTATAATTAGTTATCAAATCAATAGTTCTAAATTTTAGCCTATAAAAGGAAGCATTTGCTATGCATTTAGGCATCTTGGTTTTCAAATCAAGATTATGTTCTTGCTCTCTGATTAGTACTTAAAAGTATATTTTTATCAAAGTTTTATATCATCATTTTGCACTTGAAGTACTAATAACTCCTTAGCTAGAGCATGTTTTATAATAACATATTTAATAATATAACATACCTTTAATTTATGGTAAATATTCATTTAAATGCAGACCTATTGCATAAATCAAGAGATTAATTAATGAGTTTAACTATTGAAATTGAGAACATAAAGAAATGGCTAATATTAGAAAAGAAGTATTGATTCATTCCAAATTGGAACACCATTCAGTTATTAGATCATAAATAGAGCTATAGAACTTGGATTTAAGTCTGCTCTATATAGATGGAAAGCTAAGACATAGGCCTAAAACTTTCATGAAGAGTTTAAGATTCAAAAAGGCTATTTTTAAGTTCAAATTGTAACAACAATGAAGAAGTCTAAATTTGTACTATAATTCAGATACTGTTCAGTATTCAACGCATATCTCGAGCTCTAGAAGTCCAAATACATTGATTTTTTCTTTTGAAAAGTTGAGACAATTTTCTAGAACTTTCATGAAAACAATATATTCAAATTCTGATGTTAGCAATGACGTTTTGCTCAGACAAGAAGATAAGGATTATCACTAAGTCAAGATATGGTCATCCACTCAACAATTAGTCAACACATAAATAGTTCTAAATTTTGGCCTATAAAAGAAGACATTTGTCATGTATTTAAGTATCTTGATTTTTAGATCAAGATCAAGATCATATTCTTGCTCTTTTTCTTTATATTTTTGTAATGCTTCAGTTTTGCATTATTAATATCTTATTTATGTCTTTCATCTCCTTTACTATACTTATATAATTATATTCTTATCATGTTTATCTATGTTTCTCTTCTTCATTATGTTTAGCTAAGTTTATTATGTCAAGTGAAAAGGTTTCACTAATGGTGTTACAATATGTATAATATAAACTCAACATGGACTTCAATGTTTATATCCAATAAAGTTTGTTATTAACATGTCTTATCTTTTTATCTTACTAATTCTTAATCTCTTGCTTGTTAAATAGTTAATCTAGATTTGTGTTACATAACACTTGGTACAACAAATGCTTATTACTTTCATAGCCAACCTTATGGTATAACCTACACCTGTTCTATGAAACATAAATAGTTCTAAATTTTGGCCTATAAAAGAAGACATTTGTCATGTATTTAAGTATCTTGATTTTTAGATCAAGATCAAGATCATATTCTTGCTCTTTTTCTTTATATTTTTGTAATGCTTCAGTTTTGCATTATTAATATCTTATTTATGTCTTTCATCTCCTTTACTATACTTATATAATTATATTCTTATCATGTTTATCTATGTTTCTCTTCTTCATTATGTTTAGCTAAGTTTATTATGTCAAGTGAAAAGGTTTCACTAATGGTGTTACAATATGTATAATATAAACTCAACATGGACTTCAATGTTTATATCCAATAAAGTTTGTTATTAACATGTCTTATCTTTTTATCTTACTAATTCTTAATCTCTTGCTTGTTAAATAGTTAATCTAGATTTGTGTTACATAACACTTGGTACAACAAATGCTTATTACTTTCATAGCCAACCTTATGGTATAACCTACACCTGTTCTATGAAAGGAACTTGATTTGTTGTTAATATAAGTTAGCATCATAAATTCCTAATAATATTTAAAAGTTTGGTGTTACTTAAAGAAGATAATTAATATGATCATATTAACAATTTATAATGAGCTATTAATGACAAATCATCTGATTGAAACTTCTTTTGTGTGTGGTTTCCAGTTGAGTAATAAAAAGAGTTTATACTATACTTATTTGAAATACTATTAGTGGATTCTCTAACCTTGATATTCATTTTTATCATTGTTTAATCTTTACAATAATGTTATATCTCAAAGTGCTTTTTAATTCATCATCATCATCATCATCATCATTATTATTATATAGTTAACCTCCCTATGGTTCGACCTCGGTCTTGCCGGGTTATTTATTATTTTGACACTCCTATACTTGGGAGAAGACATCAATCTTTTGATCATGTCACTCTCTTTATTTTTATTTTTATTTTTATAATGTTTAAGTTTTGCAGCCTACACATGTGCTATGAAAAAAACTTAATTTGTTGTTAACATAAGTTAGCATAATAAATTTCTAATATTATTTAAAAGTTTGGTGTTACTTAAATAAGATAATTAATATGATCATTTTAACAATTTATAATGAGTTATTAATGATATATCATCCGATTGGAACCTCTTTTGTGTGTGGTTTCAAGTTGAGTAATAAAAAGAGTTTACATTTATTTTTAATACCATTAGTGGATTCTCTAACCTTGATATTTTTTTTTATCATTTTTTAATTTTTAACCTCGGTCTTACCGAGTTATTTATTACTTCGAAACTCCTACACTTGAGATAAAATATCAATCTTTTGGTTGTGTCAAGTTTCAAAAGGTTTGATTGAGATTTTATTTAAGCTCAACTCTCTTTAAAGTGATAGAATCTCAAAATCAATTTGAGTTTATCTTTCTTTAAAATGAGTGAATTTATAAAAATAAAAAAAAATACTTCATGATTACTTTATAAAACGTTCAAATTTTAAGATCACTTCTAATTGATCTCTCTTTAAAATGAAAATCGCTTTGAGTTAGTCCCTCTATAAATTAACCATTAAAAAAAAATCCTTTAAATTCATCACTCTATGAAGTAACCATTTTCAAGAAAAACATTTTTGAGTTTGTCCCTTTATAAAATAACTAATTTGAAAAATATTTGATTTTTTCAAAAGAAACGGACCTTAGAAGAATTAGACCATTTTGAAGAATCTTTGAATTTCATAAATGGACAGGTCACTTGAAAGAATTATACTGAAAACCTATTTAATATTCTTGGTCTTTAACCTTGTAATTGGCCTAATTGACACATGTAATAGATCATGTGGTGTTGCTTACTGATTCTCATCCTTCCACCTTTTTTCAAAAAGATTCTTCCCAACATCATTTATAAGAACACCATCTATGGGTAACACATCCACATACTCCTGTAACAAAG